ACACACATACCTCTTGCAATTGTGAAGGGGACAATATATGATAATAGGTAACAGTGCTATTCATACAGCTGCATATCAATGCAGTGTATTGTCCAATAATGCATCACAAATAATTAGGAAATAATTAGGCATATCCATGAGAATAAGCTTTAATGTTATATATTAACATACCTGGTTATATGGAATAATTTTTTAAGATGATAAAAAATTGTTATGTGCCATCAAGTCAGCCATGACCCTATGCACAATATCTCTGAATCCTCTATCCTGGGCCAATCTCACTGTCTCTGAAACACCTATCCTTATTACTCCAGTTGCTGTGTCGATTCATCTCATCCTTGGTCTTCCTCTCGTGCGCTATCTCCCCACCATTCCAAGCATGATGTCCTTCTCCAAGAACCGGTCCCTCCTGGCAATATGCCCAAAGAATGTGAGATGAAGGTTCAAAATCCTTGCCTCCAGGAACACCTTGGCTTCACCCTTTTCATGATAAGCCCATTAGTTCTCTTGACAATCCTTGATATGTTCAATGCTCATCTCCAGCACCACAACCCAAAGGCATCAATTCTTCTGGCCTCTTTGGTCATTGTCTAGCTCTCTGATGCATAACAAGTAATAGCAAAGACCATGGCCTTGGCCAGTTGCACCTTAGTCTCTAGACTGACATCATTGCTCTTTAGAACTCTGGAGAAGTTCTGGACAGCAGATTTTCCTAATGCAGTTAATCTTTTCATTTCCTGACTGTGGTGCCAAAAGTGTTGCTTGTAGAACCAAAGAAGCTGAAATTGTTAATACCAATCTTCATCTATCATGGTGCTGCCAATTGGTCCGCTAGTAAGAATCTCCATTTTCTTGGTATTGAACTTCATATTGCAGACTGCAATCTTTGACCTTTTGCAATAAGCGCTTTAGGTTCTTCTCAGTTTTCAGCAAGCAACATGCTATCATCTGCGTAACACTGGTTATTGACAAGTCTTCCTTCAGTCCAGATTCCCCATTCCTGCTTATAGAGTCCAGCCTCCCAAGGGATCTGTTCTACATAGATTGAAAAGGTATGGAGACAGGACAAATCCCTGACACACTTCTTTCCTGATTTTGAACCATGCAATGTTTCTTTGCTCTGACAACTGCCTCCTGGTCCAAATATAGGTTTCATATGAACACAAACAAACAAGTGTTCTGGCATTGCTATTCTTCTCAAAGTTAGTCACAACTTATTGTGATCCACATAGTCAAATAC